GGTGTCGACGTAGAGATGTTTTTGAGTAGGGCTATGACTCATTGGTAATAGTTAGATTTTCCTGGTATAAAAATTGAAAGTCGACAGAGCGTTTTAATATGAGCCTTAACGTAGGATTAAGACAAAGATCGGAAAACATGAGACAGATGTGCAAAGGTGTGCTTCACTGTATGCAGACCGTCACCATGCACATCGATTTGGCAAAAAACCTACAAACAAATAAATGGAAAGTACATATGAGGCGACACGAAGTCTACTTTAACAAATCAATTCGACATCTGCTCTTCGAGAGCACTGCAAATTACACATGAGCGTACACAGCTGCCATGCGCAGAACATGTCAAGCGAAGTACATTTCAGTGAACAAGACCCATCCAATGTAGCCAATAGTTCCAAAAGTTCTCCGTTGATGCCGTCAATTCCATATTTTTCCTGCAAGATACTACTCGCAGGAAGGAGGAAAAGTTTCAAAATTGAGAGAACGAAACCCCAGACGTACATGTTGAATTTTGTTACCTCTTTTGATGGATTTTGAGAAGGTACCGTTGCCTATAAGTTCAACAAGGATACTATCCAACACCTTCACAGAAGTGTTGTAAGTGTCAACAGTATGGAAGCCATAAAGCAACACTTTACTCGAGAAAGTTTGCAAATCACAAGTCGGCGAGAATCTGCGCAGGTTTCTGGCAACTAATATGCGCTTAGGCTTGAGAAACTGCAGAAAAACATTAAAAGGACGTGTAAATGGACAGAAAGAAGCATTGCTGGTAGATTTCACTGAATTTAAGATTTATTGATTTATATCTATGTCCTTGTAGAATTCACCAGGAAATGTATTAAGGGTAGAGGGTGCCTTCAGTTGACACTTTTCACGAATTTGCTACCGACTTCAATTCTGTTAAAACGAGTTTTTGAAGCCTTAAATAATCTCTTGTCGATGCAGCAAAAGTCTTTTACGAGCTCTACAAGTATCTCCATCGGAGTATTGTCATCGTTCTCTAATATTATCATTGACATAACTGCAGAGGCCCGAGGTGATACCCTTGACGACATGTAAGCCTCTTAACAACAACAGCGGGATTTGAACCGCCAGCTGCCGAGTTCTACAGTATATTTCATCACGGCAAAAGGGATACCACCAGAACGTTGGCCGAACTTGTTTCGCGAAATCCCTGCAGAAGACCATGATGGTTTTCGGTACATAAAGCAAGTTGAAGTCATATTTTGATGGTGGTAGGAGTAAATGCAGTTCTACTGGTGTCTGCTGGAAATAGGAAATAGGCAAACAAATAAGCAATAAATTAGGGAAGTAAATAGCCGTACTACTAGAATAACGGAACAATTATAGGAACTAATGTAATGAAAACTCTAACATCTTTAACGTGAAGGATCCGAATGCTTGCTCGCTTAGTGGAAGCACTCCATAAAAAGACAAAGATTAAAGCTCTCAGCGTTGATCAATTCCTGAGAGATGAGCCATGCATTTGACCTCATTAAGCATCGTTTGGAGGTGATCGAATACATAACTGGCCCTTACAATGACTTGCGGTGGTCTACCGATGTATCGAGCCAGTGCTACTATCTTCCCAGACAAGTCTGGTACCAATTTGCAGGCCCCAGTGGGATGAAAGGCTTGGTGGGCCATGGGCACGGGATCGATTCCACGTGTGGCGTCGCCAACTGCTGATCCACATGTGCCCTAAGCACTCCATAAGATTCTGAAATTGATGTGAGAGTGACATTTTTGACTCTGGTGTGATTTAATTAAATGCCACTTAACGATAGAGTCTATACTTATAGATTCTTTTGTGTCAGAGTTGAGAAAGGAAAAGAAATACTTGACAACGTTACAGCGAGCTATGTAATGTCAAATATGCCACGAAAATTATCGACTCATATTATACAATAGTGCTACTGTTTTATTTAAATAGGAAACATACCTACAGTGTCAAAACTGAATGAAGGCATACTGTACCACTTTAAGAAGGAATGAATTTCTCATCGATATTTGTACCACCATCCCTTAGTGAACCTATCCTTTTCGTCACAACTTTAAAAAGAAAACAAGGCAGAAAAATTAACCACTTCTTCGGTTCTACTCGTTTTTGACATTATCATATTGGGCTTTCACATTCGTCATATTACGTAAGAATGTCTACTTGTTATCCTTTTACTTACCGCTATTTAAGTAGCACTTGCCACGAATAATTAGTACTGTCCTGCTAGTCCAGTCGTACTACGTGCTAACACATGCTGACTTTTATCGGCACGTGCCAATTATTTTCGGGCAAAAAACCTCTGCCGCCATTTCTCACAGTTGCGACGGCATTTTTTGCCAGAAATCTTTTTATTTGCACGTATTTTTCATGCAACCAATCACCCTACATGATTTCCGTATTCAAACATTGCGATCGTTTTGAGGGACAAGGTCGGCTATTATACTATGCCATAACGCGGCCCGTTCACGCAAGAAGTTCAACACAGCACTTCGATCATATTTCTCTACTTATGCTTTATTTTCTCATTCATACAGCGATTTTAAGATTTCTCTTGCTGATATGTAATTGATAGTGATTTCTTATTTGTTACTAAAAGTTGGAAGCTAAATTTCTATCTTGTTGAAGCCGATCCGGTATCGTTTAAATTTCTGAGTTTCGTCGTCGACAATAAAAATCGACTGTGCCAATTGGAGGTCGACAGAAATCTAGTTGTGGTATGAGCGCATTGTCGCCTCGCCTGTCGCGCACCCTCAATGACACGTGCAAATCCAAGTGACAGCAATGCTCGTCCAGCAATCTTCATCGCTTCGATAAGCGGTTAACACAACCTGACTTCATGTTTTTTATTGTTTCAACATCTTCGGTGCTTTAATTTATTTACGACACCGTCCGGCCCTTTCCACTAGTATTTGTTAATCTGTGTTTTCGTCATTGCAGAGAATCTTCAGAATCTCTCCTGATCTTTCGTTCTTTCTCAGTGTGATCAAACCTTTCACGAAGAGGCAAATGCTGAGAAAGAAGTGAATAAAATTCGAGATCGACTCATTTATTTCGAAATACAAAAATCTTCTTCTGTTTTACCTACTTCATTTTTTCTATTGGGCTTCAGGAAAATGTCTCGAGATAATTTCTCCATCGCCGAACCCTTTCCCCGACAGTGTACTGTTTGCATGAATTTATACGATACTGTAGTAGAGCGTAATTTTTAGACGAATGTTCGTTAAATCGTCGGACATTATCCATGCACTAAATGCGGAATCAAGGTAATAAGGACGAACTTCATAAGGAAGGACTAAAGGTTATGAATTCCAATCCAAAGATATAGATAAAAATATTGCCAAAAGCATTAACAGAAGCTAAACTTATGAGCCACTATGATTGAAGACCAAAACTATTCTGAAGTGGACCATCGAGACTACTATATGGAAGTGCTCTAGCTTACCTAAGATGAAAGATGGTGAAACAATTTAGACTTTGATGAAGGCAGAGCCTTACCATCGGTGCTGAATAGTACTTGTATATCGGCTTTGTGTTTTTTACATAAAAAAACAAAAGTGGACTTCGTAAAAAGAATCGTTGTTCTTCTCGCTGCAGATCACTTTTCAAGCTTTCAAGGTTATAGATTCGAATTCTTCACAAAAAGAATTAAGTGAGTGAGTTTTGTCGTTAACATGACAGTTCTGTCTATCTTAGAGACAATTTTTTGAGAAAATTTGCCAAAGAAGCTGTGCAAGCGGAGAAGCTAAACGACCAACTTCTAATCTGAATAGCAAACGACGAACTCGCCGCCGCAACCGCCCTCATTCGTTCCAACATTTAATCGTAGCGTCAGATTTCGTGCACGCTATTCACACATGGGATTTTTTCTCTTATATTAAGCGTCTATGCTACTTCGAAGTCATAAATATTCCTTGCAGAATTATTCTCCTTTAACACCATGCTTTTCATTACTTTCCAATCTCAAAGTTCTAGCTGAGCTTCTTTCCAAGTTGCGTATCTTTATACCCTTCCGTTGTATTTCATTGTAACATGGATTTCCATCGAAATATACGAAAATTTAATTGATATGTCTTCAAAGTTTACTATGCCACTCGAAAAAAATTCACCAAAGAAAAGTAGACGAATAGATTGGTTCTTTTCTTGTGGAGGTCTTTCTAACACGGCAAAAAATGAGCTGATGATTCAACACTGGTATAGGCCACACATTCTCTAACACCCTCGCGATGACGCCTAATCTCGGTTTTGTTGCCCACTAGACGACTCCCAATTTTCAACACTTATGGACTTGCAGCTTTTTTGAAAATAAGCGAAATTTTTTCGATAACCGGAAGTCTTCGCACCTTGTAAACATAAACAGACTGTAGGAAGGACTTTGCTTTATTGCTCTATGGTTATGATGCTATTTCCTATATGTTACTGTGGTCCATTAGACAAGCAACGTTTATCTCAGAATTTGGAAGCATTTTACAACTATCTTGTCTCCATATCAGCATTTTTTATGCCCGAGCACTCTATGGGATAACTTTCATTCACTATAGCAACTAGAATTGAAACAGTAGCCAATTGGCACCCAAATTTCTGGCTAGTGAGCTCATTCGGGAGACGGTTTTTTGTAAATTTCTAAATGCAAAGTAGAGCTTCTGCGGAGCAACGTCTAATTCAACATCTGTGTTCCACAAACTATCAACTAACGACAGAAAATGTAAAAACGTAGTTTTATATGTTAAAATAAACCACCGGGAAAAACTAAACATGTGGATATCATACGGACCCCTGCTCTGGAACCATTATGACATCTTTAGGTGTCATCTGTCGCGCGAGTGTTAATGTAACGAATATTACTTTTTTGCTCACATTTTCCACTAATCTGACTTGAAATCTATAGAGAAAAAATTCAGTAATGTTGAGGAACGTTTTATTTCCGTCTCAGATTTTATCGGTATTGCCATTCATATAGGATACAGTGATTGAAGACGTTTCTACTACATTTTATCTTCAGCGATGTCATACAGTACCACTCAGCCAGGAGGTCGTGCTCCACTCGGTGGAAGACAAGCAGGAAACGTTGTCTGTAAGTGTAAAAAATACTCCCATGAATGAATAGATAAATGAGTGAATAAATGAATGCAGCAAACGAATGAATGCATCGGTGAATGAGTGGTCGTTTTATTATACATGTTTCAGCACAGGACCGCATGTTGAAGATTGTCACCGAGATGCGATCTGGAGCTGGTTCAGGATTGTCACCATTCGGTCAGAATGCGGCTAGCACAATTCGTGATTCACGCGAACGGGAAAAGAAGGAAATGAGCGATCTGAATGATCGTCTTGCCAGCTACATTGAAAAGGTTGGCTTAGTTAGGATTTCGTGTAGTGCCAGTAATAATGTTTAAGTATTTTTGAAAAATTTCGAGAAAAACATCTAAGTATTAAATGAAATTTTGGTGCAATATAGTCGAGCAACCTTTCTTAACAATGAATACCATGGCTCAATAAAAACTCCAATTGCAAACATAAAAGAGTGAATTTCAACTGAGTGAAGAAAAATCAGCTACTTAAAGCGAATCTAATGATTTCTTCCACTACAGGTGCGCTTTCTGGAAGCGCAGAATCGCAAGTTGGCTGCAGATCTAGATGCATTGAGAAGCAAATGGGGTAAAGATACACACAACATTCGAAACATGTATGAAGGTGAACTTTCGGTGAGCGCTTTTTCTTGATCTCTAACATATTATACACATAAAATTGGGAAAGAAGCTCAAACACTTCCAGGATGCTCAAAAACTCATTGATGAAACGAACCGCCAGAGGAAAGACTTAGAACAGCAAATAAAAAAGATGCAGGATGAACTCACTGAGCTCAGACATAAGTCAGTTTATAAAACAGTTTATTTTCCTTCTTTCCTACCATTTGCTATTCCAGTATCAGTTTTGATTTCACTTTCCAAAGAAAACGTTGGGCTAGTTGGGAATTCAGGTATTCCCAGTGAACTATCCAGTTCTTCTCTGTTGACCTTTCTTTTTCGTTGTGTTAGGAGACTTCGCGAAAATCACTGCAATAGACGTCACCGTAACCACTAATGTTTACATAAGGCATCGCAAACGATATGTGGGCATTTATTGTGTGTGGGCGGGAAGCAGAGTCTCTCTAGTGAAAACGTCTGCTTAATTAGTTGGTAAGCAGATATTTGTATTTACTTTAGGTATGAAGAGGCAGTACGTGGACGTGAAGCCGACCGTGCGAAAATCGACAGCCTACTAGTGCATTTATCGAATCTCGAGGTACTATAGAAATTAACTGATGAAAATCGCTCTATGTCCCCAATTTGTGATCGCTGTGTTAGTTGCGAAATCCGACGGAAAAAAGTTTCGTACGTTGCTACATGTAGAGAACATTTTTTTTTGCGAAAAACGGCTGTAAGAGCATCTGTACTGAATAAGCTATTAATTTAATGAGAAATGTGTGACAAACAAACTCTTTGCCACAGAACAAATAATTTAGAAACGCATGAACTGATATCAATGCATGAATTTACTTGTGTTAATGGAGCGATCGGTAACTACTCGCTTTTGTTGTTCACAGCTATGAAGTAAATACCTTATTCCCAACACTAAATAGGAAAGCATGAACTTTTGTAGACGTTGACGGCCAATCATATAAGCTTTCACGGCCATTCATATATCAGCGTGACCACCGACATTTGCGTCACTCGGAATACTTTATTTTGCACAAGTCCAAAATTTTCGAAGTAATAAGCTATTTATTTCGAAAGAAAAACAATGTGATTTTTTAGGCTGAAATTGCACTACTCAAACGTCGCATTGCTCAACTGGAAGATGAAGTGAAGCGCATCAAGCAGGAGAACCAACGCCTTCTGTCCGAACTTCAGCGTGCCCGCACAGTTAGTGATAAAAAATTTCATCAATGCCAATTGAAAATATACTAACAGTGTGTTAAGGATCTTGACCAAGAGACGCTGAATCGCATAGACTACCAAAATCAAGTACAGACGCTTCTTGAAGAGATCGATTTCCTTCGACGTGTGCACGATAACGAAATCAAAGAACTTCAGGTGCTTTGATTGTAGATGTAATTGTTTCTGTTTTAGAAACTGCATTTATTGCTTTTCAAAAACTGTTGTCGATGTTAATTTTTCTTTCCAGACTCTCGCATCTCGTGATACAACTCCTGAAAATCGCGAGTTCTTCAAAAATGAGTTGTCGTCTGCTATTCGTGATATTCGTGAAGAATACGATCAGGTACACAGCTAAAGAAAACAATTTCTTAATTGCTTTTTTCGCTTATAGATACAAGTCAGTTCGTTTTGAAAAAACAACTAGAGATTGCAATAAATCGTTCAATAATGCATACCTAGCTCTCGTGGACCCATCTTGACTAATAGTGCAGTACAAAACAAATTTTTTTATTCAACAGGTGTTTTTTCGTCGGAGCAAGTTTTTTTTACCTATATTTCTCTAAAGTTTCGAAGTGGTATGGCTATAGATTCCTTTTCCAACTGCTACAGACTATTGGAAAAATTATGGATAATCGCTAACTTCACCTTCTGGCAACTACGTTGACTCCACCACATCTACGGTTCTTATCATAGCATTACTCTTCAGGCTGCCTTTCAGATGGTTAAGTGGAATCTCTCGATCGTGTTGGGAGAAGAACCTCTTGTTGTTTATGGGCACTTGATGCTCGGCGATACCACTTAGCTGTGATAAGGCTGTTAACCATTAAAGTTGGGGAAGGTTCCTAATATAGAAATCTGGTTTTTATTTTTACACTTTATGCGTAAAATAGTAAAAATGTCTTATTTTTTAGAACATAGAACTGCTAGCTTGTTAGTTTTTCTTTTATTCTAAAAAAATTATCGAATCTTCAAACAAGCACTTCCCCAACATTGAAATATTATGTTAATGATATCTGGTTACAGCTTCTATGTATTTTCCTTCAACAATTATGCTCGTTGTTCTCGGTCATGCTTAGGAATAGTAATAACTGTATGCTTCCAACGTTAACTGCTTCAACGTAGCTAGGAGGTGTTCTTGGGTGTCAGACTGCGATGTACAACGGGGATTGGGATGGGGGGGTTCGTCCCACCCGCAAAGTCTTCAATGGTGAGAAGGAACCCGACGTTTCCATTAAGAAGAGTAAATGAATACGAGATTCATCATCGTCTTGGTATGAAACTAGTCTCATGGTGGCAAGTGTCCCTCTGACCCACAAAGGCGGCGACTGCCTGTCATGGTGACGACCTGGAGCAGATTTTGGCCAGGCTGACCTCGGGATTCCGCGGAACCACAGTGGCTAGATAAGCAAAACTCCGAAAAACTATAATTATGATAGAGCTCGCACGACCAGTGAAGTCGGGTTATCGAAGTATCCAAGTAAGCATTAACTATGTGCGAAACAGTTAAAGACAAAAAAAAAGGCTAAATTTTAACTTATTATTTACTTCCTACTGTTTTTAACGGCAGGGTATATTGCAAAACATAACTTTAATGATGCTGAGATATTTGTAAAACTTCGGACAGCAGGTGTCTACGCTGGAGAGCGAACATGTTATTGTCCTTTCCGGGGAGTAACGCGTTCACCACCACACCATGCGAGTCTTTCGTTTCGCCTGTCTCTCATCTAGTTCTATCGACCTTTTGCCATCAGCAATCACCCGTCACCGGGATTGGTCTGGGAAACCCAAATTGGCAACGAACCTGCAGCGGACAATAGCGCGTTCATTCCCCACCGCAGACACCTGCGCTCCGGAGTTTTGCAAATATCTCAGCATCATTGAAGTTATAAAGAGGCTGTTGAAACTGCGACGCCTGATAAACCTCAAGCACTCAAACAACACTCCTGCAAGGTTAAATTCTTTCTCAAAATGAATCTAAGTTATAAACTTGTTTTTCATCTTTATTTTTATTTTTATTTAGATTACTAACGTTCATCGCACAGACATGGAGTCGTGGTATCGTTTGAAAGTGCAGGAAATCCAAACACAAAGCGCCAGACAGGTGAGTTCCAGTCTTCGTTAGGACTTCGTGCACAGCCTATCTGATTACAAATGCACAAACCGAAAATTGTTACTTTACATCTTATAAGGCCAATCTTACTCTACTCATTCTTTTTTTTTATAGAGCATGGAACATGGATACGCGAAAGAAGAGGTTAAACGCTTACGCACTCAATTAAGCGACCTTCGCGGAAAATTGGCTGATCTCGAAAGCAGGGTGATTTAAAGTGTATTTTCGCCATCCAGGTTTTTAAGGCTAAAATTTTGCATTGTCTATTTTAGAACTCACTTTTGGAGAAACAAATTCAAGAGCTCAACTACCAGCTCGAAGACGACCAACGCTCGTACGAATCCGCGTTGAATGATCGTGATGCTCAAATTCGTAAGATGCGTGAAGAATGCCAAGCTCTTATGGTGGAACTACAGATGCTTCTTGACACGAAACAGGCAATGAATAATTTGGAATTTTTCTCAAGCTCGTTACGATGCAATAGTTTCCAAGACCGACTTTCTATTAACATCGACACTGGTAAATAGTTCGCTGTTTTCTTGATAAACACACGCAGTCTCGTCATTATGTATGATGTATTAACAACAGTTAATTTTTCTTCAGATTTTGCTTTCTTCATAGCTTAGAGAAGTCCAATTGGCTGCAATTTAGCCAGCCAAACACCTCCATAACCTCAAAAGAAATTCACAGTGCCTAAATTTTAGTCGGATTGAAACGAAAGATCTTCACACAGTCACCGTTTCCTATGAGTCTCCCACCGAGTATTCCACGTAGAGACCAACAGCATAGAGCTGACGTTGATGGGTAATGTGCCCTTCCTGTATTAATTGGTGCGATGGAATACGGAAGAATAATTACTAACTCGAAGTAGAAAGCCTGACTCTGTATGAGTTCTCCATATGCGACTTTTAACGTAGGCATGGAGAACGATCTCAAGCTTAGGTTATAACTGCTTATATACACAGTTTAACGGTAGTTGAGCCGAGGGGCACGAGCGAAATTGAGGTTAGGATGAGTGACATTTTTCGGATTCTTAGAATTTATTCTGAATGGCTCGAGAATTTTGTGCGTTAAAGCCATCGATACTTATAAGAAGCTGGGCGAAACAATAAAACCCTGAAGCTGGGACACTGGGAGAGCGAGCAACCGGAATGCGGAGACACTGCAGCACTCGCAGACTGAAATACAGGCATTCCGTTGATGACTAATGGTGCTCCTTATATTGTTTCTGTAATGGGTGGCCCTTTTAGAGAGCGAACTAGAGAAAGTGCTCACAGAAAGGTTTTAAAAGTTTTTCAGCTAGTACAATCTGAAAGAGCTACTTGCACAGAAGGTTCGTGAAGTCTATACAATAGCTTGTACAAAGTACATGTGATAGCGATGTAGTGGCTTATACAAAACCTGACTGGGACGGCAAATGCTGCAAAGTGCGTGCAGCTGACAGCTGCTCATTCAGTGCTCGAACTGTCGGGAAAAGAAGAGCGGTTTATACAAAGATGTTACAGAATCACCTTCCAGCCAGGTGCGAGGCAGGTGCATGAAATGTTCTCTAAGAGACGATTTACAGAAGATACAAGGATAGATTTAGCATAATTACAAGTAGACGGCTAATATAGGAAACGTGCGACTTTATAGAGAATGGGAACCATTTGAGGAATAGTTTCCGCACTTCTCACCTTTAAATATCAGTCTAAGCTTTTGTGTGAGGTCACGCGTGATAACGAGGATTTCTTCACTGCTGTTCATTTTCAGATTCTTAGAATTTATTCTGAATGGCTCGAGAATTTTGTGCTTTAGAGCCATCGATTACCGTGCCAAAATGGTTGCTTCTAAGTCAAAATCTTTCCCGTTATTAACTTGTCTTATGCATTTTAATGTCTTATGCAGTGTCTTATGCGCGCATAATGAATTATTTTGTTGAATTTAACGCTAACCTCTTAGGTATTCTTTTAATACCGACATACAGCAGACTATCCGTTTCGGCAACATATTCGTCACCACACGCTTTACAAGCGTGCACGAACTCACTCATGCAATCGCAGTCTCAATTGTTAGCGCAAATGATGCAATTGTTTGTTTCGCATAGATGGTCATACAAATGGTTGCAAGGTATAATATCTGGTGTCTTAGAGTCTTCAGGGATGTTTCAATCAATGCTACCTATTTCGCTAGACCCATTCTTTTTCAGAAACGTGTTATGGATGTGATAATTTTGTTGGGAATAAACGGCAGGATAAACGGGATCGTATTCTCGCTAAACTTGTCGTTTATGATCTTGCCTCTTTCTCTGAATCTATTCCAAGTAGCTGCACTTTGGTGACCACTGCAGATGGCTACCTGCTATTCTAAATTCAAGGATTCCTCCTTTAGCTTTCTTTCTCTGCACACACTTATGGTTTTACGAAACATGTTTCTCACAGAAACATTCTTTGGATGTGAAGGATGAGAGGAGAGGCAATGGACTAGTATGTTTTTGTTGCTCGGTCTTCAGTACAGCTTGGTGGTACAGCCTTTTCCTGACAAGTTAATCTGGACGTTCGAAAATCGAAGCCAGTTTTCTTCCGCCTTTTCTCGTGTGAATTTTATGTACTCTGACTGTCCATTCAACAACTAAAACCATTTGTCGATCTTCTCTTGTGTGAAACACATGACAAAGCAACCATCTTTATATTTCCCGTAAATTAATGGGTGGAGATCAGTTATTAGTTGGAGTTTCCACTCTAGACATAAAGGCAAGCAATAGCAAAGCTTGGCCCCGGTCTCTGCGCCACCACCAACGCCCTCCTCTGAGGGAGAAACCTCCTGCGTCATCTAAAGATTGGGTAGTTTAGGTAATAATAACATTTTAAGAGAGGCGTGAACTTTTGGATTGACCAGCCATGCCTATTTATAGCTCCTTTGTGCTGCATAAGAAGCTCGAGTATGGTATGCATAGCTGATTGGCACATTAGTATAAAGGGCCATAACGTCGAAGGGATCTATGACATACCCGCTGTTACTACGCGCGTTACGTAGGCCATCCAGGAACATTTGGATGCTGGAATGATGGGCTAGAACGTCTTTGAACAATTGAATGAGTATTATGGTTGGAAACCATATTATTCTATCCGTTGGTCAGTCTGCAGAGCTTGTGTTCGATCTAACCTTGAATAATGATAGATCGATAGACAAAAGATCAACAGTAGATACTAACTTATAAATTTTTTTAAGTAAGCATAAAACGAGCATATTGTTAATTCAGTGTTAAGTTCGGAAATCGCTGACGATTGTAAACCAGCCACGTCTTCCACTTTGACCTATTCGTTGTTCAATTTTCGGCATTGAATTTTGCATTTCTTTTCGGATGATAGACGTTAAAGGAAAGCATCTTCAAGATGCATTTTCGCTATATTGACATCTAACTGACGAGGAATTCGAAAGACCGACTTTCTATAAACCTCAGCATAGATAGTTGATATATTTATTTATGTGATCTTATAAACTGATCTTCTTAAGCTGACGCGAGGTTGGTACAGATCTTCCTTGTCGTTGTCGTTGTCGTTGTTTTTGATGTTATTGAACGATGGCTGACGTTTCGGCGACTTCGCCTTTCTCAGAGCCTGGACGTACTTTATGTTAGAATACTTTTTATTATTCGGTGGAAAAGAAAGTTAAAGTATTAATGAAGATCAAACTTTCAAATAGACGCCATATTGAACAGAAAGGCCACTCACCGTGATATTACGTGCGGGACTGGCCCACACGTACACGTAAACTACGTTCAATAACATCAAAAACAACGACGACGACAACGACAACGAAGATCTGTACCAACCTGGCGTCAGCTTAAGAAGTTCAGTTTATAAGATCACATAAATAAATATGACGAGGAATTGCCGCATGCTCTTCACCTTTATCACCAATGGATGATTTTTAACCATATCAGCTCTCGAACCTCTCGCATCCTAAATTTTTGTGTTCTGTAAAGTTGGAGCTAAACTTTTTTGCGGGATAATTGTTAAAGATTCTAAAGATTGAGTCCGCAGTTATCCGAAGTTTGATATCGACTTCTTTATAGTGGTCATATTGTCCAAAGAACGCTTGAAGAAAGGGCGACGATGGCAATTCCCTTACGTATTGTTGTTCAAACCCATTTAGTGCCTAAACTCTGGCTTTGTTGCGGAAGAGATCTTAAAATTCGTACAAAGTGCACATGATTCTATACACGGTCTCCTTTGAAATGGGTTCACCTAGTGAGAAACATGGTTCCAATTCTAGTAGCGAGCGCGCTATTAGAATATGAGGTGTGCTGGTAAGGGGCTTTGCTAATAGGGTTTCCATACTTCTTCGATGCAGTGTTATGCGGCCCACTGAATATGTTTTCGATTTTCTTCGAATTTCGAAAGTTCGCTTCAGCACTAAAGTTAGTGCTGTTGCAAACTAACACTGACCTTCGCTCAATATTCTGTCCAAACACTGAGCGCTTTGGTACACCTTCATCGCGCGCTTCTGGTCGCCAGTGAAGAATGTCCCACTACTGGTCGATATCTCCTAGAATACCTTAGGCTAATATTTTAACTTGCGAAGGGCTCATTCGCCGTCCTTGTGATTTGTGTACGATTGTTCTCCACGTGGAGTATGCAGTGGAAAACTCATAGAAATCGATACATATGTGAAGAAGTTGTTCTATTTCAATGCGATTAATATCCATGTGACACGGTTTTCTGGTGAGGTCATGTAGGTGTTTGGCTGTATAAATTGCAGTTAGCTTGTGCTTTCCGGGTTTTGAAAAACATGCTAGCCACTATGAACAATTAATATATAATAACAATCTCGTATGCACTTATCAAGAAAGTAGTTCATTAAGATGCTATAGTTTTAGTATCACTCATTCTAGACACTTGACGCTGAGATAGCGATCTATCGCAAGATGCTAGAAGGAGAGGAGAATCGTGCTGGATTAAAGCAGCTCGTCGAGCAAGTGGTTAAGACCCATGCGATCTCTCAGGAAACTGACACTGGTATTCTTTTTATGTTAGCTATTATACATGATAAAAGGATAAGAATTTCAACTTGATCAATTCATTGGGTATAAGCCATGCATTGGACTCCATAAAGTGTTATAGAGGTGGTTAAATTTGTGCTTGGTCTATAACTACGATTGCCTATATTTAATTTTTTTGTTTTGTTTTATTTGACCCGTCTACACGTCTACGGTACGGATCCCAGTACTTTCCACATTCGTTTCCTTTTCTCGCATCCATTATCCACAAAAGGCTTCTATCTTTTACATTTGGCTTCGGCTGATAATTGAAGTGTTTCATTTCATTTTTAATGTCTTAGAATGTTGGTTGAGAAGATTCTCCGCGGAGTCCTGAGATAACCGGGCTGCAACGTTCCCAACTAGACTGCAGAGAGTGATTTTTTCCGGAGCAGTCCGGCGCCAATTTCCCGGTCCCAGAAGAATGAGAGGCTTGATTGACCCGGAGCGGAATCAAACTACTATCCGCCGTTAATATTTAAATTTAGCGTTTTTCATACTGCAACTTTTTGTATGACTAAAAGTCACCCTTGCCATTGCGTTGAATGCGTCTTTCAGATTCTCTGGGTATCGAAAAATGATGGGCGTGGTTGAAAGACCAGTATTGTGACAAAACTCGACATGTGGCCGGATAAGAGTGTAGTAATGTATTCCAGAAACAATGCGAGTTGTCAAAGGCGAAACGGCATCGCGTCAGTCGTTTCAAAGATCTGCAAAAGGCAATGTTTCTATTCATGTGAGTCTTTATTATTTTACTGCTCTTTAAATGTTTGTCCAATATACTACATTCATGTAAAGTATTCTCAAAATCACTTAGGATGCTTCACCAGATGGTAAATTCATTATTCTACAAAACACACATCGTGCTAAAGACGAAGTAAGACTTTCTCCATAAATTAATAACCTTCAATTTCATAGAATTTTTGCATCTTGCTATGTTTTCCTTCAGCGACTTATGTTTCATACTTTGTAGTCGATCGGCGAGTGGAAGCTGAAGCGTCGCATCGATGGAAAACGTGAAATCGTCTACACCTTCCCGAAAGACTTCATCTTACGTGCTGGTAAAAGCGTTAAGGTACAGTACAAATTTCAATAAAATACATGTTAGCGGCAGTGTTATGGCATGAAACCATAATTCTTCCAGATATTTGCCCGTAATCAAGGAGTTTCATCTCCTCCTGATCAACTTGTTTATGATGGAGAAGACTCTTTTGGATCCGGAAACTCCGTTCAAACCATACTCTTCAACAAGGAAGGAGAAGTTAGTGGATTTTCGGTTTATTAGAGCCCAAATCCTATAAAATGCTTGCTCTCGTGACAATTTCGCTTAGCTAATCAGAGACAGTAGTTGTCATTCACCCCATTAAACCAGACCTATAAGTATTTATCTCAAACCGTCCATTACTGTTTCATTTTCCTTCAGGAACGTGCCACTCACATTCAGCGTCAGAGCAACGCATAGAAAGCTGCCGTCATTTTATAAACCATTGCTTTCTTTATTCAATATGAACTTTCTCATTATTTAGCTTATCAAGTGCTAGCTCAGTGAAATCGTTAACTGCATTTCAAGTGCTTTTCATACTACCATTTATGTGATAAATTGGTCTTTAGATATTTGTTTGTGCCAGTAATATATTGAACAGCTTTTTATTCCGTAGTACATGACTTTCTTAACTTTACATAACATAATCGATAACATCCTGAGAAGTGGGAGGAAACTCATACACGAAATACAACTGTTGCGCCAGTGTTTACTGAGCTGACATGCGGCACGATAACCAGGACCAGAGCAGATTAACCAAGAAATAAGCGCCCGTGTGCACTGACATGAATGCATGCTTAGACGGAAAATGGATCGAACGCACTGTGTCGAAGGTACATTCCAAACAGCAAAAAGTTAGGCGTGGTCGCTTATGCGAACATACATTAGTCATTGGGCTAATTATGGTAACGTCTTTGATGGTGAAAAACACTGTTGAACTTTCATTATTCCTCTGCTATCACAGTAAACCATTTTTAGTTGCTGACGAGTCATCTCTACCCATTCTTATGTAGTTCATCATCTGGTAGCTTGAATGATCACCAATTAACTTCATTCTGCATGCTCTAGGTCTCTCCAATAGACTCCACTCGTTCGGGCGTATGTATGCAATTGCGCTCTTGCTGTTGTATCTCTTTTAAACTAGTTTTTAGTAACATGTTATTTCTGAGTTGCTCGACAGGCTTTGCCACAGTATAGATGGGGTTCTGTTTGAAAATGCTAGATTCTGATCATAGGATACTATGCTGAAAGTGTGTCATTCGAAGTGCATCGAAGTTCGACACACAAGAATATCGATAACGAGGTGATGCCTTTGTATAGGTGAGAGGGGTAAAAATGAGTGTAAAAGTTTCAAAAGCAGATGAGTGTTGTTCTCAAACTATTTTGGCACCATTTTGCATTGTTTTAAAATTTATTCAGCCTTACTTTTCTAAAGGTGGTCAGGTATGTGAAAATAGAATTTTTCATTCACTTTATTTTATATGACCCGTCTTCAAGTCCTTTGCTCGGATCCCAGCACTTTTCACATTCGATTCGTTTTATCTCATCTATCGTCCACAAAGATCGTCCAACTTTTACGTGTGGCTTCGGCTACTGCTGGAGGATTTTCATTTCATCTTGAATGTCTTAGAATGCTGGTCGAGTTGACTCTTCCTAGAGTCCTGAGATAGCTGGACTGAAGCGTTCCCAACTGGATTGCGAGAGTGATTTTTTCCCAGACAGGTCTGGTATCAATTTTCCGACCAGAGAGGGATGACAGGCTTGGTTGTCCCAGAGCGGTAACGAACGAGAACCATGCTCATATGACAGACATCACTACTACGGTATTATCCGCCCTTAGAAAGAAAAGAAACTTAGTGGGTCTTAAAGGAAAGCTCTCAGCTTTGATCAATCCCTGAGGCTGTGCCGTGCATTCGACATCACTAAGCATCGCTGGGGGTGATTGAATGCATATCTGGCCTTTACAATGACTCGCGGTCACCTACTGATGTATCGAGCCAGTGATGCTATCCTCCCGAATAAGTCTTGCACCAATTTGCCAGCTTCGGGGGATGGAATGCTTGATGGGCTTTGGGCGCGGAGATCAATCCCATGGGTATTGCAAGATGCCTCCGTCCACTGCGCCACACAACTCTATCGAAGAAATTGAGCTGCAGCTGGCGACTCTTACTCTTTTTCAAAAAGTAGATATTTATTCTGGTGACCACCCTAGAGCACCCATCCACAACACCTCTGTGACTCCAGAAAAAAGAAAACTATCAACTAGCAGCAACAAATTCGCATCGTTAGCGTGCATATTGAACGACGTCAGAAATGAGAACTGATAACATGAGGTCAGATCTCCGGTTGAAGCAGCGTTATTAAAACAAGACTAGGACGCGTTTTAGAGAATTTTTCTTGCTTAATCTCTACAACTTCGGAACAGCACCTTCCGACGACGAACTTGGCACCCTCTTTGAGGTTACAAAGCATATCCAGTTTCACCTGATCGCCTCGGAGGAGATCACAGGCAAGAAGAATAATGTACGACTAATCATTTTCGGGGCCGCTATAATTCCTAGATATGTGATCCCATTGTGAAATAACAGTAGTGTAGATTTTATCGCATATCAACCGTTAGTCGTAAACTCATACAATGACTCTATTACCTGGGCTTGATATTCGCTATCTTCAGCTCAAAAAATAATCACCGTTATCGAAGCACCAATAGATTCTTCACCACGATATTGTATTACTTTTTATATTTGATCTCGATACCTAAGTTTCTTGTCTTGACAAAGAATTGTGTGAACCTTACAAAATTTCGGGCACAGTTCATCTTCAATGTTATCTTTTTTATTTACTGCCTACTACAATTTCTCACGGTAGGTTATTATGTGTGACTTAACCACAATAATGCTGAGATATTTGCAGAACTCCGGACCGCAGGTGTCAGCGGTGGGAAAATAACCCGCCATTACCCTTTCCAGGGGCTAACGCGTTCGCCACCAGACCATGCGGGTCCGTTTCGCCTGTCTCTCACCTGGTTCTATCGATCAGTACCATCAGTAATCTCCCGTAAGCGGGGTTGCTCCGGGGAGTCCAAATCGGCGATGGCCACAGTTGTGATTATAATTACAACCTCAGTTTAACTGGGTTCATTGCCGAATTGGGTTTCCCAGATCAATCTCGCCGACGGGTGATTGCTGTTGGCACTAATCGATAGAAATAGCTGAGAGACAGGCGTAACGAGGGACCCGTATAGTGTGGTGGTGAACGCGATACTCCCCGGAAAGGACAATAGAGCGTTCGTTCTCCTCCGCAGCCACCTGCGGTCCAGATTTTTGCAAATATCTCTGTATTATTGCGGTTGAGACTTCATCTTTATTTATACACTCGTCATGAGAAGCTGAGAACCAATCGTTATGAATAGTGGAGTTTGTCATCTCCGCATTCAAGAAAGACGACGATTTCTGGTGGTTTTAATTTTATAAGGCATTCCAGATGGAAATGTCGTATCTGTGCGAAGTTTTGGCAGAGGATATCTTTTATGAACCTTGAAGCTCAATATAAAATTCTACAGCGTGGATACATTGTTCATTCACTGATCGTTCCAACGTATTATCCTACATACTAATCTCGTCTTGTTATGAAGCACTGATCTTTGTCTTTATAGGACGCCAATTATAAAAAGTCTCTTTTGTAAACTACCTTTTTTATTCCTAGTATTCGTGTATACTGATTTTATACCGATAGCATCAACACCGCTAGATTTCACAGTAGCTGCATCCTCACAATCGTTGGTGCGAGTGACTGTCTTGGTCGGAGTTGTGTTTGTGCAGTGCACATCTCAAACACTTGAAAAGCTAAGGGTGTATACAGCTACGACAGAAAGGATAAAGACAAAGATCGGTCAGCCAAGAAAGAAAACGCTCCTTCTATAATGATAACAGAATAAAACTTTTAATAAGAACAAAGATTCTATATATTGGATCTACTGACAACTAAGAACTCGCTGCGGACGTAATGATGTATCAAGTCAATGTTTTTTTTCCATCATCGTAAACTTATGTGATGCTAATTTGTTGACACCGGAAAGATGGAGGGCTTGATATGTCCATGGTGCGTGATCCAACCAAGAACCATATGCATGTTATAACGCATTCAGTCGCTGGTCTACATATCTCCATCGGAAATCGTGGGCACTGTAAAGCGAGATAGTAAGGGATATAAAAGACAGAAATAGAATTATGTAAAAAAGTGTGAAAGAGAAAGAGAGAGTATTCGATTAACGAAAGTTTTATAATACCGTAAACCTAGACTTTTGAGCACACTGGAGGTGCGTCTAGTGCAATGGTTAAGGTTGCCATGCAATACACATTGAGTCATACATATCTCCAGTGTGAGGAAACTGAAACCAAACTTTTCGAAGACCATAACAACAACGATTTAATACATTGGTAGAGCACCATAAGTCACTGTATAGGCCTGATATCGATTCACATATCTTCGCTTTGCTTCGCGAAGTCGAATGCACAGCGCATTCCTCAAGGTTTGTTCTACGCCGGACGCTTTATCCTTTTTATTTTATTGAGTACGCTGAAAAGAGATTTAGAATAGCCATTTATTCGCTCATAAAAAAACTCCCTATTTTAGAAAACGGATCTAGAAAACTACATCCGAGCAATCACGAATTTCACGATGACTACCTCACTGTACTAATTTCAGCATCAGTCTGGATAAAGAAAGAACTCGTTAAAAATCATCAAAAAACCGGTACCGGTTTATTGTTGAATATAACTTTATACATAACAAAAAACGACCAACCATAAAAACTTGTATGTTTCTAAAGATTACGAAGACACGTTTCCAAAAGTGGTATTTCTAAATGGCCTTAGTCAATGCTCTGACGTCCTTTGTACCAGTATCTCTTAAAAGCTTTTGCCTCCTAATCCATCCATTTTTTCCACCCTAAGAAGAAGCTGTAGTGGTTAGCCAGTCTTAGCCGCTAGCGGGCAAGTAGTTGTTCATATGAGGAAATGAAAAGGTATTGCTTGAGAGAGAAAGAGAGAAACCAAAAGAGAGAGGGGGAGAGAGTTGTAGGTAAACGGCAATACAATGCTGTGTTTACTCGGTTTGAATGGCTGCTACTCACAGCCAATTAGACAAGTCGTACGTGTTCGTGGACCGTACGGAAGTGTTGCGCTAACGCTAACAAAAACTATATGGCATCCCGTTCTCTCATATATATGAAAGAATGTGTGTCACCCATCCCCAGCTATTCACTTAACTAATATGTCAGGAGGCTCATGTTCTTAGCAAATGTTCCATCCAGTAGATGCTATAGAAAGTGGAAGTCCAGTAAAACCGAACAAACTTGACAGAATTCCGTAAGTTGTGCACGATGTCCAGAAATGATTAGATACCGGCTGTAGACAGTT